AGGTAAACATCATTATTGGTAAGGTTACTTATGCAACTGCAAACATTTTGGTTCAAAGTACTCCTGATTCTATGATTTCTTATTGGTAAAAGAAGTATTGCTGGTCTAAGCAAAGGTCACATAACTAAGGTAAAATTTTCTTCATAGTTCTCGAGTGCTCTGCAATTCTTTGTGTATCTTCCTGGTATGCCCCGACATTCTTCCCCTCCCACTTGGCCACGGCTGTCATCCACCTGTGTGTGGAAGAGCCCTGTTGTGAGCAGTTGAGTTACATTGTCAGGTTATATAGAATGTAAATCATGTTTCTTATTTGCTTAGACCTCTCAAATTGGATAAAACTACGAAAAGAGAGTAGCAAAACCTTCTTCCACCAATGTGTCTGTGGTCAGTGAGGTACGCTTGTTTGCTCTTTCTGATGGTGACTAGAAAGTGGCACCTTGTGAAAGAGCATTAGAATCAGATTTCTGAGAAGTAATTCAGAATTCAAGCTCCATCTTTATACACTGCTAATCACAGCTATTTTGACAGAAGATGTAATAAGGGTTGCTCAGTCTTAGAAGAACCAATTAAAGACAAATACTACCTTTTTTCCTTTTTTTCCCTCTTTTTTCCTTTTTTAAAAAATTTCCTTTTTTCTTTTTTTTTTCTCCTAGAGCTTTTGCTCTAGCTTTTGAGTTAAGAGTTAAAGAGGAAAGATCCTTCGTTTAGTGAAATTAATACACTACAATCTGTTACATCACTAATTTCAGATGACTTGATTGTATTTTTTTTCTCTCCGCAGAACTGAAATGTTTTCTTCCAGGTCATACTTTTTATACTGGCATACAGTGTGTTATCTTCTTTCAGGCCTCTTTACAGGTGTCCTGTCTGATCATTTGTGTCAATTTTTGTCGGGAATAAAGCAACTAGGAGAGATCATGAGATTTTATTGAATTTTGGGGACATGGATGTGAGGCTTCGCTTTCTATCCTTCTTTTAGCATCAGTAACATTATTATGTATCTGTCCTAGTAGCTAGCCCTGACACATTTAAAATAGTTGGTTTGCCCCCATCTGAGTGAATGAAGGACTCAGGTTCTGATGGTGATGTTTTGAATAGCTGGCATTGTGAAGACCCTGTATTTATTTTTTAAAGAGCAAAAAAAGAGAATTGTCCCAGAGTTGCTTTTATAGTCAGGATTCTTCAGCTGTTTCTTTTTGTCAAAAATGCCTCACACATGCAGCTGGCAAGGGTGCTTCATCTATTCCTGTTCAACGGGGGACAATAATCTGACATTATTACTTCTAGACAGAATTGCTGTAACTGTCCACACTTAGAAGCTGTGATGTTAAGGTTTCACCAAGTTCTTAGCCCCTTCATATCAGCAGCTGCTGGTAAAACACTATCTGGCTGCTTTGTAGGCTAGTAAGTTGAGAATAATCAGTTTTCAGCATCGCTATATTTAAAGTAGGCTGCCTCGGAGTGTCTTCTGTTAACTGACCACAACTTCCCTCAAAAATTACATGCACAGGAAGGATGAAATTGCTAAGCCTAGCTTATTAGAGGGAGGAACACAGCTCGGGTGGTGCATGGTATAAGACAGTGTATACTTTTCTGGAGGGGCTAGGATAACCACAAATGTTGCTGCCTTCAGAACAGGTGCAAAACTTGCTTTTTTAGTTTAGCCCTTTGCACAACATCTGTCACAACTGAGGAAAAGAAAAGAGGAAGAGGATAAACACATATTTTTGCAGTGAGGAAAAATGAATTCAGCTTTTTGGAAAGAAATACAGGCCATGTCTTGACCTTTCTGTATTTTAGGAGGATGCTAATGACAGCATTTTGATAAAGGCTTAAATAGAGCAATACACTAGAAGATTTTGAAGTTACATAATTTGCTAACTTTTCTGCAAGGCCAGTGAGTTTCATGTTGCTTCTTGTCTAACAAGTTTTGACCAAATTTGTTAATTGTAGGAGGATGCAGATTGAAAGGAGCCTCTGGAGATCGTGTTGTCCAACCCTGGTAGTGCAAATCCAATCAGGGCTGTGTCCAGTCAAGTTTTAAGTATCTCTAAGGATAGAGATTTCGTAGGCTTTCTGTGCAACCTTGCCGATGTCTGACTAAGCTCATGATGAAAAAATGCTTCCTGATGTTTAATTGTTCCTTGCTGCAACTTGTGCCTGTTACTGGGTGTTGCCATCTTTTCTGTATGCCTCCCCAGTAGGCAGTTGAAGACAGCAGTAACAACTCCTCAGGCTTCCCTCTACAGGCTGAACCATCTCACCTCTCTCAGCCTCTCCTCCTGTAATCCAGTCATCATATTTGGTGGTCCTCTGCTGAACTCGTTCCAGTGTGTCAGTATCTTTCTTATACTGGGAAGCCCAAAACTGGGTACAGGACTCCATGTATGATATCACAAGTGGAGGGGAAAGGTTGCTTCCCTCAGTGTTCTTTTGAACATGGTCCTGTATATGGACATGAGGTCGCACTGACTCCTCTCTAACTTTTGTTCACCAGGAACCTGGATTTTTTTGCCAACCTGCTTTCTAACCAGGTGGTTCCCAGCCTGCACAGTTGTGTGGGGTTATTCAATCTTCGATGCAGGACTTTGCATTTGGCTTGCTGAGCTTCATCACATTCCTGTGAGCTCATTTTTCGAGCCCACTGAGAACCTGTTCTTCATTTAATGCATCTGAGTGAGGTAATGAAACTTTGGCAGTCATGGGGCAGGATCCTACACAAGCAGTAATTCCCATTTTAATTCAGAAAAGGATTGCAGCTTCCCTGAGGTTGTTTTGTTCCATAGCCTTAGCTTGCAACTTGGCCAAGAATGTATTAGGAAATAATTCACTCTGATTTATTTGATGTTTTTCTAGTGATTCTTTACGTCCATTGACTTTGTGTTGTGCCAGCACAGTGGGATATTACTAAGATACAAACCTTAGTTTTTCTCGAGTTCTTCTCCTGCTCTGTACTACAGACATGGACATAGAAGGGACAGAGTACATTGCTGCTTTTCAGTTTCTCCTGAACTGGTCATGTAAGGCAAAGCTTCTCTTTCTGTTCAGCTGCACCCTATTTATTTTTCTTATGTTGCAGGCTGCCTGATTTTTATCTTGGAGTCTATTCATTCCCTGCTTACCTGAAAACTTCTGAGTTTCAGAACAACGTTAGTCTTTAATGCAACATCTGTTTTAAAAATACAGACCCCTCCTTTTTTTTTTTCTTTACACTAATGATGTTGCGGTTTAAGAGGATGGAAGGATGGTTTAAGTCATTAACTGCCTTCAGGAATCCTGTTATTTGTGGTAGCGTGTTACCGCTTTCAGGAAGGCTTCAATATCTTTAAGCCCAAGGTGGCTGAGGGAACCCATCTGAGCGCTTGCAGTAGTAGTCCTTAGTTTGCATTTGCATCAAAAGAAAACATGAAAGCAGTAAATGCTCTTTTGCTACAAATGCATGTGTTTTGATCCTTCACATGATGTACCTTCACTTAGTCATGTGTTCAACAACAGCTGTCTGTACAACTTTCTTTTCTGGATTTGGACAGAGGCAGCCAAAATAGACCATTTGGCCCCTGTCATCATTTTTATTTCTATGTGCTCTGTCACATTCCCTACTAGAGATGTCAGCAGTGGACATGTAGTCTAGTTGAAGTCTTCTTAACATCTGCCCTAGCCCTACACTCTGAACTTTGGAGTGAAGATACTCTATTGTTTCATCACGAGCACAGTTTTTTAAGATCCCAACTGGATTTCACCTTCCAAATAGAGATCCAGTTTCTCCAAAGAACTTCAGTCAGATCCTCATAATGATCAAGCCATTTGAAACTGCTGCTACTTGTCAGCTGCTTTATTTATATGTGAAAAGTGTGAAGTGAGCTCCAGATCTGTATGAGCATTTCCCAGCCTTTCACTTAGAAGGGGGCATTTCCTAGAATGCATCAAAAGCTTTTACCAAAGCAAAAGCTCATTTTCTTCTGCAAAGCTAATACTGATTCAGGCACATGTTGCATGGCATGGCATGCTCATGTCTTTCAAGGCAGACACATCTATTATATATATTCAGTGGTGGAGAGGAAAAGAGATACCAGGTATGTGTATACCCGCTTTATTCATGCCTGTGCAGCATGGAGGAGGAGAGAGACCTGGTGTGTGCCATTACAGGTAACTGCCATTGTAAAACTATTACAACAAACAGTACTGGGCGGAGAGTGCCAGCAGGATAAATGGAAAGGGCATCTGGAAGTAAACCGGACGTTTGAGAACAGCTGTTAAGTTTTCGGTATTACTGCTCTTCCTTGCTCCAGCAGAGCAGCTTGTTACCATCTCTCTGCTGATGGCCACCAGCCCCACTGCACAGCTGTGAGAAGAAACAGGACAGGTGCTATCTAAACAATTTCAGTGCAGTGTCCTAGGCCAGCTGAAACCACCACTGCTACTTTGGGCAGTTTCAGATAAGCACACGGTAAAAGAGTCCCCTCATTGATAGCTGTCAGCCTGTGCTGACAAGTAGTGAGGGGAAGCAGTAGCATCAGCTGCTACAGCTATAAATTGTCACTGTCTGTCTGTCTGTGGCTTTAGAACACCTGTCAGGAGCTTATCTTAGCTTTTAAAGCTTTTATTTTATTGGTTTATTCAGCATTTGAGAAATACTAAAATGAGGGGAAAAAATAGCCTTTCTCATACCTAACTGGACCAACACTCTAAAGCTTGTTAGAGCAGAGCATTGTTTTGAAGTAAAGTTAGATGTTTGAGAATGTTGAAGTGATTTAGAAGGAATGTCTAAGTTTAAAAATAACAGAATTGCTAATGTGAGAAAATGGGGAGAAAGATTTTCAATACAGATCTTCACTTTGTTTCCTCTTAGAAGAGAATAGATATCTTCATTATGTGGTGCTGTAATATGTATGTAGAAAAGTCTTCTTGCCTTTCAGGTTTTGAAATCACAGTTAGAGGAAACACATACCAAAAATTTTAAAAAACCCCAGACATGAGTAAAATAAAATGAACATGTACTGTTGTGATGTTAATTATACATGTATTTTTATTTTTACAGCTTCTAGGTATTAATGAAGGATCTATCTTTGGCTTTATCGGGTTATCATTTGCTTAGTCTGGTAGGAACAAATTCTTAGATAATATTTAAAAATAGTTTATTAAAAAAGCTGGCAAGAACAGAACTGATATAGCATACAGAATTAACTCCTGTTAAAAATTGTTTACCTGTAGCTTCATAGTGTCTTTTTTTAACTAGAAACTCGATTTTGACAAAGTGGCATGAAATATAGGGTCTTTTGCATTTTCTTTCCCATAAGAAAGTAATTGTTAATTGAATGTTTCCTTACTGCTGTTCAGATATGACCCTTCCATGTTTGCAGGTAGGCGGAGGTCAACACGTGAGGAAGGAAGGAGTCACAAAGATGACAAATGTAACTGTGTTTGTTTGACTTCCAGTACAGCCTTAATGCCAGAGAGATACAGCTGCAATAAATAACGTTTATTCTGACATCTGGCAGAGCTTTTAGCAGTAATTACCAGGCACTCTTTAATTTTCCTTTTCCATCACAACCTCATGGTGCAATTACCAAGTCGTGTTGGCAGGTGAAGGCATATTCAATAAAGATAGAAATCAAAAGAAAAGACAAGAGGGCCAGCAATAAAGCAGGGAAGGAAACGGAGACGTGACGGAAGGGCACGATAGCAGGAACCCAGGGCTTGCATCCTGGATACTCAACCTGTATTGAGGCTATTTCAGCAGGATATGTTTAAATCATTTGGTGTCTTTCTTGGCCCAATTTCAGTGTGCCCAGAGGGATCCCATATATGCTGTATGAAGGAGTGATGAGAAAGCTTGTTCTTTCCCAGCTAGTCCCTGCTATTCTCATTTATTGAGAGGTGACCATCTCACATCATCAGAATTAACACATTCATTTACTTTTTGTTGGCTTCAACTGAACATTTATTTCTGTTTCTAAAACGTTTGTCTTGTGTCCGTGTCTGACTTGAGTAGAAGTTCTGAAGAGCCCTTTATCACTGCTCTTTTAACTGAAACAGCAGTTTTCATAGTTCAGTCTCTTGCTTCAATTTACCTTTTGTGATTATAAATAACTTATATACAACCAGAGTAGAGACTTTTTATAATACATACTAAAAGAAATGTTCTCCTTAAGGAAAAGGAATAAAGAGATAATACACCTTGCAAAGATGAGTGATTTAACATATGGGAGATATTCAGTGTTGGGGAAAACCAAATAGCTCATTAATTTTTCATGTATTACATCTGACAATGTTATCTGTGTGAATTGTCCAGTAAGACAGTGCTCCAGATACTAGAAGATCAGTGTCACCTCCAAATTAAGCATTTGTGATAGTCAAACATACACAGAAATTGTCCATTTTATCTCAAAGTTTGGTTTCCTTTGGTTACGTGACTTGGATAACAAAACCACTGCTGTAAGTGGAGCTCAGGTAGAGCTCTTGCAATTTTCAGGTGATCTGGTTGTAGTCAGTCTGAATTGTAAGCTATTTGTGTTCAAACCATTCTCAGACATCCAAAGTGTGAATTGAGTCTTTGCTTGAGTTAGTAACATCCAGACATACGTATGTGCGGTATGGAATTTGAGCATTCACAGGAGTGCATATTTCCTGGAAAAAATGAGATCAGTCAAAATGATACAGCTAGGAAATTATAATGCTGAGTTTCCCTGCTGTCCTGTGACAATTCTTTCTCAGTCCAGTGTCACTCCTTGATTTCCTGACATCCTGAGAAACAGAATCTTACTTAAGCTGCTGTAGAGGGAGCACTAACAGTTTTGACAGTGGGTTTTACCCTGTTATTTTAAGCTTGCTCCTCTGCAGTACAGACTTTATTTTTCAGGTAGCTTTCCATTGGAAGATTTTGCAAGTACCATCATTTGCGTTTCTCCCATGTCACGTGAACTTTCTTCATGATGTGACCTGACAGCACTTGAAATTGATACACTTACTTGCTGTCTCAGTATTTTCAGTACAGTTCTCTTGTATCCTTTGCATGCAAAGAAATAGATGAAAGGATCTAGGCAGCAGTTAAAATTCATCAGAAACACGGTATAATGGAGTGACTTCTGGAAAATTTTATTTTCAGTGCACGAGGGTTCTTTCTGAAGCTTCTTAATCATGTGTTGTATGATTGCAACATGATAAGGGGTAAAGCAGATGATGAACACTATAATTACAAATATGATTGTATTGATGGCTTTTTTGTTTATCCCTGATTTTTCAGTCAGTGGATTTTCTTTGGCCGTTTGAAACAGTTTGCAGCTAATCTGAGAGTAACAGAATAGTATAATCCCCAGGGGAATAAGGTACCCTACTAAACAGGCAGCAAGAAGTATAAATGGTAGATGTGCTATTTTTTCAAAGTTTGGGTATTCCATGCACGTAGTCCTTCCTTTTTCTTCCTGTGACATGGGTTGTATCAGTAATGGGAAAGTTTGACTAAATACAAGAAACCAGATAAAGACACAAATGCCCTTGGCATATTTAATCCTTCTGATCTTGTATCGGAAGGGGTGGACAACAGCAAAAAACCTGTCAATGCTCAAACATGTCATAAAGTTTACACCTGCATAGGTGTTGACGTAGAACAAGAGAGCAGTTATTCGACATAATGCTTCTCCAAATGGCCAGTGAAATCCCAGGGCGTAGTAGGCTATCCTTGTGGGCAAGGCAATGCAGAACAGGAGATCAGAGAAGACAAGGTTTGTTGAATAGAGGGTTGTAGAGTTGATCTTCTTTCTGTTTTTAAAAATGACAGTGAGGGCAATGGCATTTCCAAGCACCCCAAGAATTAAGATGGAGCTGTAGAAGACAGACAGTAGTATCCGTGCAGTATCTTTGTGCTCATATAAATCACAAGTGGAATTGCTTGTCTGAGAAACTGTGAAAGTGTCCATTTCTGTAACCACTGTTGTTCCAGGAAGCTCAGTAGACCTAACATAAAAAAAAGAAAAAAAAGAGAAAAGGGATCATTTTGTAATAAATGCAGATAAATTTATTCTGCGTAACAATGGCCAACTTCTGTTGCAAAAGCAAGATTGGAGAAAACGGAAATGAAACTTCATTATGACGAAATAGTTTTCAAGCCTTCTTCCAAAAACAAGTAAAGAAAAAGATGGCTCTTCTGTTTTGATCCCAATTCCTCCTCTCTTGAAAAAAATCAGACAGGAGGCAAAATAATAAGCCAGGGATGTAATGCTTTTGGAAAGTGAAGTTTATAGATGGTCAGGAAGGTGAGACTGTTAGAAGCAATCTCAGGAGAAAAAGGTGTCTGAAGAAACCATGTGATAAAGGGTCATACGAAGTTCCCAAGGGTCAGACCAGCAGACAAAATCTTCTAAATACATTTCAGTTTGTTTTTAGGGATCTTTTGTTTCTAACAATTCACATTGTCACAGTTTAACTTGTTTAGAGAAACTGAATTTCTTCAGCATTGTTATTGTATTGGCATTTTAATTATTCAGCTTGTTTTATACTGGTTTCAAGGATTGGCTTTTGGAAGTTAATTCAAATATTGTTACATAAATTCTTAAGACTAGTGTTTTAGTCACTCTTCAGTGGTTCTGCAAAAGAGAGACAACCCACTGAAATATTTTACACATTGTCAATTTAGTAGATTTTAGAAATTGCTTAACCTACACAGTCAGAAATAGCGTGGAAGAGCTGCAGAGGGTCAGGGGTTTAGGGGACTTAAAAATGATCCAGCAGAATTTCAGAAATGGGAAGGACTCCATCCTGTGGATGGTGCTTCCCGTGCAAAATATTTCTTAGGTGTGTTGTTACCTGACAATTGCATAGTCTAAGTATAAATGTCAGAAAGTATGGGGTATCTAACATTACTTCTCTAGCAGCTGTTCTGCAAAATGGTGCCTCTTTTAGGCACCATTTATGTATCAAAACAGCAGTCAAAACAAGATTGCTTCTGCTTTAATGTAGAATACTATCTGCAGATAAAAGCTGTCGTAACCTGAGTTTTAAGTCTGTCTGGTACCTTTAACTGAAATGTCTAGGTTATTTCTGAGGATCTGCCTTTCAACACACGGTATTTACAAACAACTGTAACAATATTGCCTGTTGTACCTTAAAATAGTCTTTCTGGAAAATACCTCTCCATTTTAAGGGGTTTAAGCTACGCATTTTAGAAAGTATTAATTATCCTTTTATTTGAAAGCATTATAAGGCTAGTATCTTCTTTCATGTTTTGAGGAGGTCGTCCTGCTTATTTCAGGTTGTTCACAATTTATGTATCTCCAGCACATGCAGTATTATAAACCTGATCAGGCTTCTGGCTAGGTTAGTAGGGCTGAATAAGGTCCTTTGTAAACAGTAAAACTGCAGATAGTGGATGTTGTGTATTAAAATACATAAATGAGTTATATTAATATAAATGGGTTATATTACATACGTTTAAGGAAGAAATTAGCATCCAGAGAGTATATTAAGCCTGTGTTTGCTGTGGTTGCACAGGCAGTAGGAAAGACGGGTGATTTCTGACTGATGTATGGTGTTCTGATTCTTAGAAACCTATAAAGGATGTACCATGTGTTGAGAGGTGGAAAAAGTGCATTCAGCATTGGAAGTCAAGTCTGGAGTGGGAGTTTTGTGGTTTGAATAATGGAATTAAGCTGGTAAATAGCAAGTCCAGCCCTAGTGCAGATTTAAGAATATCTGTAATTTTATATTAGTTATTTCTGCATCATTCTCTGATTCTTGGTGTTAGTGTGTTTGATAATTGGTTAATACAGTAGTTATTACCCTGAGACTAGTTCTGGTATACTTTTCTCCAGATTTTGCTTTTCCCTTATAGAAGTGTATGGGTGGCTCTTGTTTGACTTAAGTGTAACAGACTGCTGTTTTGCAGAAAATGGTATGGGTTTCTATAGGCACCTGGATAAGTCAGTGAGGGATTTTGTTTTGTTTCTCTTATTTAAATGCTTCTTATTACTTGTTCACACTCCCAGCATGACATCTATCTTCTACTCGTTTCTTCCTTGAAATTTAGGTAAAATTAAACTTAAACATATGTGAGGAAGAAATAATCTAAGATTTACGACAGACAGGTCTATTGCAGTAACTAGCTACAGCGTATTAACTGCATAATTTTATTTTCATTGTAAAGTTTTAATAGTTTTGGTCCATAGATAATGTGCGTAATTGTCACAGCCATTCATAGGTCTTTCTATAAATGCTTGTAAAATGTACAATATCTATTATTGTACAAACTCGTTTAACTCTGATTCTGGGAAAATTACATAATTTCAGTGAAACATATATTTTTTTTTACATCAAGAGTAGAATGTTGTAGAATGCGTGTTACTATGAAGTCAGATCTTTAACGTAATAAATTAGCCTAGAACTTGTTGCTCAAAATAGGATATTCACCCTTGCATAAAACCATAGCTGTACTGAGAAGGAGTCTTAGGTGTAATCGAGTTTGTCTATCCAGAGTGATAGCGTGAATATATATGGGGAGCAGTTCCATGGCACGACAGATTGGCCACAGAGAAGAAGCAAGCTGGAGGATCATAGCTCATAGGCCTTCCAGGGCAGTATGCATGTCAGCTAAGCTGTGCTCCTTGACAGGGGATGTCGGCAGGCTCTTTTGCCTGCTGTTGGAGTCAGCCCTGGATGAAAAAATAACTTCTTCCTGAAAGGGGTCTAGACTATTAAGTATGTCAAGATTATTATTTTTCTTTAATCCTATTCCTTGTGTCAGGTTACTATTTATTTCTTGGCAGCAATCCCCAGTGATCAGTTTATTATATAGACAGCATATGACATGTTCCACGGAATGTTTCTGAAGAAGCAACAGCAGGCCCATTTTGCCTCCTTTCTGTGGGTTTTGCATTCTTGGAACAAAAATGGAGAATGTTACCTCCCTATTGCTCCAAATCTCAGACTAGCTGGAGTTGGGTTTAATGAGCTGTGTGCCTGAATACCTTACAAAAACATGGACATTTACTGTCCTGAATCCAGATGCACCACTGAAGCTGCACTCTAGAATCCATACCAAAATGTTTGTTTTTCTAGGTTGTTGGATTAAATAACCCTCCCCAGTGGCTTTCTGAGTTTATTAATGAGGTTTTGAAATATATACTTGGAATTAATTTGCTTTACCAATTTAATTATTTAGGAAACATTGCCACAGTTTTTGGCATAGAGGCAAAATTTTAAGGCATGAGGTATTTAAGATTCCTGTCTTTATATCAGTATTGTAAAGAAGGGTGTTCAGGTTTTCATGTTTCCTGAATCTGCAAATACATGATAGGACACAGGCCACTTACTCATTTAATGTGACCTCCTGGATAATCCAAGTTATGTTGTTATTTTATTTATTTGTGGATGGATTCTACTAACTTTTCATTTAAAGCATATTTTCTGAAATGCTGTTTGGTCTTGAGTTGGAGAACTGAAGGGAGAGCATATTAGCCATTTGTACTGTTTTGGTCAGTCAACCTCTCTGTTAAAAAATGTGGATGTCTGATTTGAATTTCTTCAAAATTAATTTGCAATTGCTGGTTTTGTTGAGCCTTTCCCCTTTATACAATCTCATGGGTTTGGCATTTCAAGGTGAACTTCTCAAATGTCTCACCACAAGTGCTGTGATGTCTGTTCTAACCCCACCTTAGTCCCACACACGAAATGGGGTTCCAGATGCCTTTTCATATCAGTGTGCCTGGAAGCTTACTCACTACCTGCTTTTTCTGCTCAGTTGATTGGTTATCGAAACAGAATTGTATGGCATTGCACTGGGAACTTCTGAAGTTAGTTCACTGTGATCCCAGAGTACTTCTCAGATTTACTGTGTCCTAGGATGTCTCCAGTCTAGTGTCATGGCCATTGCTCTGGGAAGACCTGTGCCTCAGAGAGTTTAAAATTAATGTTATGCATGGGCTTACAACCAGTGAAGCTTGTTCTGTATTGTTCTCTCGCTCGCTGTTTTCAAGTCTTAGCATTGTATCTGCTTTTTGACCACCAATGGAAAAAAAGGTTTTCTTCAGCCAATTACCTTATGAGATTTGTTACTTAGGCACCTTTTCATCTGTCCTGTGTGCTTTCTTGGTGTTTCACAGTAATAGGGATCTGAATCTGAGTCCTTTCCAACCTAAAAATATCCACTCGGGAAAAAATCACAGTACCATGTCAAGCTGCTTACAGAATCTAGCATGTCTGAAATCTGTGCAGGTGTCTTTCTAAGCCAATTCCATAATCTCATCAAAGAAAGAAAATAAGTTGATTTAGGAGACTGGTTTTCTGTGAAAATGTTTGACTGGCATTATTCATTTGTTTTCCTCTATACTGCAGTACACAAGAGCCTAACTCAGAGTAATGTCCCCACTGCAAAAGGTGTTTGTGATAACTCCAGTCTGGAAGTACTACATAATCCAAAATCCTGCTTCATATTGGTGCTCATGTATGATGAGCTTTATATATAGTATTGTAACATTACATACATATAACTATTAACAAGCATAGACTTAGGCTATGAGCCAGCAATTGCAGTGTTGCCATTTTAGATTACACAGGTTTGGATTATGTGCAAGCAGTGATACAAAACTCGCTCTGTACGTTATAAATGAGTTTTCTTATTCTCATCTCCTGCTTTTGCTGAAGGAGCACCATCTGTTTTCAGCAGAACAAGGAACATGTAGAAGTCCTTAACTGTGTTTTGTAATCTAATGTGTGATTTGTCTGTCTCTCTTCATAATTTTCATTCTTTAGAGATGAATCCTTGGTCCATCTGTCCAGTACCTATTTTGAGAGGGATACTAATTAAATTCTTGGAAAGGCACATCAGATCATTAGAGAGATCTCTTCTGACTACACAGAGTATGGTTTAGTTCCTTTGAGATGGACAATATTTCTTTAACAAACAGTATTGGGGAATAATGCTGTTTATATATGCACAGAATGTAAATTATTTAAAAGGAATGGTCAGGAAAGGGATTTCCCTTTCCCTACAATGCCTGACCTGAGGATTTATAGTCCTCTATAGGTGTACTCTGTATAAGTTTTAGAGACTTTAAAGCCATTTTCCAGAAGATGGGAAATATGCAGTGCTGTGGTTATGTAGGTTTAATTTTTTCCTTAATCTCTAAACCTTACTGTTTTCTGTTGACCAATAATATTTACTGTTTGAATTTCTAATTTACCATGCAAGTCATCTTCATTGTAGATTGTTTTCTCTGTGAAAAAAGCTTGGCTCAATTAAGTTATATATGTCATGTTAATTTGCATAGTAGAATGCTTTGTTAATATAAGAAGAAGATACACCTAAGGTAACTGTATCTATGTGTATGTATTGGCAGCTTGGAAAATACACGTGGTGTAATAAAAGCTGAGGCAAGAGGCATGTCCTAAAGCTTCCTGTTTCTTTCTAATACTTTAACACTCATAGTGCATTATGTTAATTTAGGTGTTTTTTTTTTCAAAAGCTGTTGAATTTTTTATCCTAAATGACAATGAGTAGGCCTGGTGACCTTAAGACCGAATCCTTGGGTCACAACCCACAACTGATTTTGGTGAGATAGTTTCCAGGCAGGTGCTCAGGTGCTTTTACTCTTTCTTTCAAGTGTTCAAGGCCAGGTTGAATGGGGCTTGGAGCAACCTGATCTAGTGGGAGGTGTCTCTGCCCATGGCAGGGGGTTTGGAGCTAGATGATCTTAATGGTCAAATCCAAACCAAACCGTTTGCTGAGTCTGAATCCCTTCCAACCCAAACCATTCTATGATTCTATGATTATTGGTATAGACACAAATATGTTGGAATACTAAAGGCAAATTTGTTAAGCCATGTGTCAATCCCAAGTATGCATTTCATGAATGAAATTGTCTTAATGATGGCTGTGAAGAATTATAATATTCTTTAAGTGCTTAACAGAATATGCAGATACAAACACTGTGGGATCTTTATAGTCCTTTTGTCTATTGCTACAGATTTTGCAAAGTTCTATGATGGTTATATTTGGCACTCAAGACTAATAGAAAATACAGCAAGTGAAATGGAAGAAGTTGAACTGAAATGCTGCATAACTGCTTAAAGAAGTTGAAGTAGTTTGAAATGTACATCTTGCTTTTATCTGTTGGATCTCTTTTTCTAATTGTGATGCATTTTATGAAAAGCGTGCTATCTAGCATAAATCATCTCTGCCAAAGATGCATGTTAATGTGAAGAGCTGTGCTGATACTGAGATGATTAATCTCCCTTCAGTTTACTTGCCAAAGAATACTAAATGTTGAAAGAAGGGAGCCTAAAATACAGCAAATAAACAAAATAAAAACCTGAGCCACTGCCAATTACACTTCTGCAAGCAGAAGGAGAAAGGGTCAGATAACAATTTATATTTTAGTAGTGGAAAACATACACACCTCTTACATGTTTTTTGGTTGTTTTTTTTCTATTTTTTTTCTGGGTGATATGGAACATGTACAGGTAGTCTTTAATTTTGGGGATTATAACTTCAGAACTGTATCTTAAATTTATTATTCATCACATGTATACATAGTTTTCGGTCTGTCAGATAGACAGGGATGAGATTTGAGCTCTTTGCCAGGTAGGTATTCAGCTCCCTTGTATCTTCAGGAGGAGCCATGAAAATGTAATTCCATACTTAAAATGTGTTCTGTACTCAAAGGCATGCGTGCCATCTCTGTTTTTTAAGGTAAGTGATAGTTGAGTTGTTGTCTGTTGGACCGTCTATTTTATTTTGTCAGTAGAAAAGGAAAGATTGTTCCTTTTCAATTGGGAAGGTGTATAAATATCGTATCACTTGTAATATTTCTTTAGGTTTGTGGCATGAGGATCAGTAGTAAGGAGAAAGATATTTGGTGATTATGATTCAGAAAAAGAATTCCTTCTAAAAAACTTTGAAAGCAGTGCATGTCAGAAGGTAAAAGGAATTGGCTCATAAAACATTGAATTCTTAAAATATTTTATTGCAATGTTTAGACGTGAGAAGAGTGACTGAGGAGTTCTTGAGCTGAAAATAAAATCTGTTTCATAGACAAAGAGGAAACTAAGCAGTAACAGTCAGAGTATGGATTTGTTTTAAGGCTCTCTCCTACTACTAAAGCATTTGTGAGGTTCAGTGAATGACTTAAGAACTGCAGCACTTCCCTTAGTACTTGTACAGTAGTTATTTCTGCATAATTTAAATTTCTATTGCTAAAAGCCAGTGCAGTATCAAATGTTTCCCTGTGATTATCAAAAGGCTGTATTATAAGAAAGGCCTTGAAATAACTTCTTGATGCTGTGGGTCAGTGGATCCTTTAAATTAA